ACGATAGATACAAAAGTGTTCGCCCGTTCTTGACATCAACAGGCGCATAAAATAAACGTAGTATATCTATTTATACCCTAACTTAGGGTAGGCTCCGAGCCCCTCGGTGGGGACGTAGTGAGCTGGTGATGATGATGATATCTTTTTATACAGATCAGTGATTTTAATTTATGACACAATAACAATATACTTTTTTTGTATGCAGCAGTGAGTGGCTGGGGGACGCGCGAGGGCAGGCCGCGCAACCTCGGCCGCGGCGTCAGCAAACCCAAGAAGAATACTGTCGCCTCGCTACTGGCGCAGAGCCGCGCGCTCGGCCTCAGGCCAGCGCTGGCGCACCAGCTGCTCGCAGAGACTGACCTGGTATTTACCATATCATATCAATAAATCAATCATACAAATAAATACCATATCAGTAAATCATTTGATTAACTGCTTATTATCTGGTATATGACAATCTCAATAAAAAATAATGTTAAAAAACCTTACTGTAAACCTCCAGATGGATGGATTTATACAAAAGCGAAGGGAAAGCGATTTTATTTTTTGAGACTATTTACTATGATGCCTGTAAAAAGTGACTTCATTTTGTGCTTCAGATTAAATATCATAAGTCATACTATTATGACAAATGCAAAAGTTTAGATGGATGGATATTTATTGGATTTTGCACTCTAAACAACTGAACGGATTTCGATGAAATTTGGTTTAGATGTAGAGGATACTCTGGAAGAACGCATCTTGACCTGAGACACATTCCAAAGATTATAACTAACTTCTGCTTTTGTTCGTTGTAGTATGTAGTTTAGTATTATTATTGGGGATAATAATGTTGCATGTAACAGGAGAAACTACGTACACTACTGGGCGAGAGCGCGAGCACGGACTCCGAGTGCCCGTCGGACAGCGGGCCTTCGGACTCCGACGCCAGCGACCCCGGCCGCCGGCACGACGCGCAGCTGCGCCTGCCTCTCGCACTCGGTAATGTTATAGCTAAAAAGTACATTATTCTTAACAATACTCTAATATATATGAAAGGACGAAGAGAGGACCTCGTGACCTTGAAATGCATTGACCTGCTCTTTCCGTTTCTCTCGCTTCCTAGCTAGTACTGTGGTGTGTTGGTCACTACACTTTCATTTAGCTCTGTCATTGATATTTTAATGATTTTTAGATACTTTTTAGTTTAAGTAGTTTTCAAATATCTTTGCGGTTTTTAATTAAGTCGGAAAGGGGGTGCATTGCGCACCGATGATTTTGCGCCGCTAAGATATTTGAAAACTACTATTTAATATTGATACTTGTACATGTTCTAGATGGTATTTTTTTTGTTTTCGCAGGTTGGAAAAGAGTGACAGTAATTAAGGGTTTATCTCGCAACTGCAATATAAAGGGCGACGTGAGCTACTCCCCGCCGGAGCCGCACTCCGCACTGCCGATAAAATCCACACAGGAACTGTGCTCGGTAAGATATAAACTTTAACTTATATGCGAATAGAAGATATAAACTTATATAAGGTTATACAAAGTTATAGAAATTTATTGATATATAGATAGGAATTCAATTTTTCTGAACAAAACAGCTGTATGTACAAGATCCTTAACAGATGGGACTTTTTTCGTTAGATGTTTAGATAGATACACAAAGTTACATGATGTTGATAATTTCAAAGTTAAATTGTAAAATTTCAAAGTGACGTTAGTTAACTGGTGTGGTTATATTTTTTCTACTATCCACCCTGCTATATTTTGCGGTTATTCAAGTTCCAGAGACATTTGACGAGCATATGAAAGCTGGTATACCAGACTTTCACATGTAAGCATTGACGTTTTTAACAACGAAGGAGATTTTATTACTATACTAACTGTTGCTCGCAACTACGCCCACGTGATATTAAAAAATATAGCCTATGTTACTCACTGATTCAGCCTATGGTTACATAATGATGTAATACATTTTTGTAATAGCAGTAGCTTTTGAGTTATTTCAATACACACAAAAATACAAATCTTTCCTCTTTATAATATTAGTATAGATGACATTTTGAATTTATGTTACTAAGTTTAGCATCGTTATATTGATCTATTGGTATATTTGTATGTTTTAAGACATTATTTTTCTTACAGTTTTTGGATTCAAACCCTTGTCCCCCTCTGTCGTCGGACAACTTCAGCTTCAGCGCGCGCACGCTGCTCGGCGAGTACGTGCAGCCCGCGCCCGACCTCGCTGAACCACTCGTCTTCAATGAGGCTGAAATTACTAAGAGGCAAGTATTTCATCTTTTACAAACATCTTAATTCTCAAGATCATTAACGGTGCTATGCCTGTGTACAATTCTCGCAAAGTAAGGAATCCACTAAGATTCTAAAAAATAGTAATTTGCGATTGTTGCTTATACTACACTTATAGACATTGTTTCTTTTGTTAGATATAAAAGAATTATCGGATAAACATTAAAAAACAAAATTAATGCGTACAACACGATCGTAACTATTTTCGTACTATCTTCTGTTACTAATATTATGAATGCGAAAGTTTAGATGGATGGATGGATGGATGTTTGTTAGAGTTTATAGCCTAAACGGCTGAATGGAATAAGATGAAATTTTTCATAGATGTAGAGGATAGTCTGGAAAAATACAGGTTATTCGTTTTTTTTTTTAAATTCAACCCTAACGGTGTCGCGGGCGACATCTAGTAAATCATCGTGTTATTGTAGAGTGGAGGAGGCGCGTGCGCTGGCGGCGCTGAGCACGCCGCGGCCGACGCCGCCGCCCGTGGAGCGCCGCATCGAGCTGGCGCGCCGCCAGCAGGCCGCCCGCGACGCGCGCAGGGACGCCGCGCCGCGCAGGGAACAGGTCTCTACACATTCACATTTATATAAGGAAATATAACTACTCACGAAAAACGTTACATGCCCTTCTGTCCAATTGCTAGAGTTCTACACTTATGTAACAAGATTTGTATTTTTGTATGTATTGAAATAAATCTAAAACTACCGGGGTGATATAAAAAAATTTTACACCATTATAAAACTATTTTTTAATTTCACGCGGACAAAATCGCGAGCAATAGTTAGTATTTTGTAAATTCGTTAAAATGGTTTTTGCCACATTTTCCATTCAGTTTTAGCTATTGTTGAAGTAAAGAGGTTAATATTAGTCCCTAATATAATGGCATAAAGGCAGATGTAACTCTTTTCGTCGCATGACTTGAGTAATTTCTAAACCCTCAGTTCGTTACTACGAATACTTGTTCAATAGGTTATTTGCAAAAACTTTAGCTTAGATATAAATGTTGCCATTTAATGTATTTGTTATTTATGTTAATTAGTTGCCTAGTAATATGCTGATTTGTAGGCTCGCTTTAATTTTATTTTCGCCAGTGATTTATTAATTTATTGTTTTCTCTATGTTTTATTATTAAATCATCAAGTGTAAACTAAAAATTGGTAATTAAACTTTAAAATGTATAAATTATATGAAAATTACTGGAATCGTATAAATGATATTTGGATAAAAAAATTATTAAAACACGAACGAAATTTTTAACTATTAATTATCAGTTTCCAATCACAATACCTCTGTTAAAATCAGTAAAATCGCAAACTTCGCAAACGTTAAGTGTTAGCGATGACGCATGAATACATTTGGTCCGCAGGCGCGTCTCGTACGAGAGTTAGAAAGGTCAGAAAGGGCCGAGCTCGTCAAACGGGAAAAAGAGGCGCGAAGTCAGCAACTGTTAGAGGTATGACGTCATACATCGCGGGTAGCGGGCTCTCCGTCCTAACATTGTATACTGTCTTGTCCTCTACAAATATATCGACTAGTCTCTTCATAACAGCTGTTAATACCGATATTCCTATTTATATTGTATGGGTTTGTAAATATTTTTAGGCTCCAAATTTTTTTTGCATGATATTTTTTTTTGGTATTCCGCTGTTATCTAGACACTTCATTTTTTATCTGTATATGTTTTTTAATTTACATGTGCTTGTGTTTGTTTTTATTTTTTTATTATCAATTTGATGCTTGGCAACATTGTGCTCACATCCGTATTATGTAGATTTTTCAAAGCAAAAAGAACCAAAACGTGATTACGAATTATAGAAAAAAGATGGTCACTTTTTGCTTTTCGTAGACAGCGTTGGACTTCTTAGCTTTTAGATGGTAGTGTAGCTGTGTGTCTGAATAGTTACGTCTCTCATATCTTTATATACTATTCTATATATTTATGTAAATTTTATTACCCTTTCACTGTCTGTGGGTTATTAGTTCTAACACTAAAAGCGATCAAACTAAACTGGTGTAAACTGACAATGTTGTCATTATCCAATTGATAATAGAAACTGTGAAACATAAAAGAAAATTAACTATGGCAATGTAAACAGCATATCAACAAGAACCGAACGCAGCTCAGCATCGAGCCGCTGGCCAGCGCGCCGCGCCCTCAGATAGCGGCGGGCCCCGCGCCCCGGCCCGCCAGGGACCGCGCTATGCCGCCCATTAGCCTCTCCCTCATTCCCGTCACCGGACCTAAACAACAAAACTTACCCATTAAAACATTGAACTACGACCAATCCGGCTGGAAGGAAGAAGTAGAGGAATACAACGCGTTAGACAAGATGAAAGATTTCGCTGAAAAGGCCGCCTTCGATCTACCGAAAAGGCCGAAAGATAAATATTTCGATATCTCACTAATGAAATCGGCGGAAAAGAAAACTAATATGCCAGATAAAGAGAACAACTTAGAAAAACTCATCGAATCTTATTCGAGAATAAGTGAATTCATGAACGGCTGTGATTGGTCGAAATTAGACGGCGAGAGTAAAAACGAGGACCCTAAGAGCTTAGAGCAGAAATATTTAGATGCAAAAAACGAATTTATGTCACAAAACTTAATGCTGATGCCGAAAGAATCGCAGAAATCTGTACTAAAGGAGGTGATTGATTTGAGTGGTGATGATGAGAATATACTCAATGATATTATAAGTAAAAAGATAAGCCAAGGAACGTTTAACGTAGGCAAAGACGGTGCGCTTTCGATCTCGGTACATCCCTACGGCAGTAAGGACATGTACTTGGTACGTGTTAGCAATTAAAATCAACACTAAAATACTAACGTTTTCCTGGGAAACACTAACACGTCTAATCACTGTGATAATCTATGGGTATTATATGTTATTTATACGAAATTATACACATAATAAACGATCTCTTTAACATTTGTGCAAACGTATTTCATTAACAGGTGTGGGTATGTGTTATTTGATGGTTAACTTTACTAACGCACGTTTCTAACCGCAGAAGTCATAAATCTGTCGTGTATACACGAAATAGTTCTGATAATTGGAATGTACATCGAATTAGAAATTAAAATGAAATATGATTTAAAAAAAAAGAATGTAAAAGCTTCCAGCTACAAATAAATGATCTGAAAAAATTGGTGTTTAATTGGACATTTCCAGAAATAATATAAACGTGAAAAAAAAAGATTTAGGGAAGAATTAAGACTTATGTAATCAGCAACAAAAAATAACAGTTTTTATCTTTTGTTGCACGCTTGTAATGTGCCTATTTTCTCGTAACTTTTACATTTAAATGTAAAAATGCAGTTAGTTTTTTTTTTAAGTTTTCTTATTTTCTATTTGTTACATGTTCGCTGCTTTGATTATAATTTGCTGTACCGCTTTCGATGTTGTCACTACGGATGTGTTTCAAGGCTAAGAGAAGAAAGCAGGAGGAGTTGGAGAAGCAGAAGATAGAAGACCAAGCTAAGAAGCAACAGGTTGGTTTCATTGCATGCTTGAAATTTCATATATAACGCAACTTTTATGTAGTTTTATTATTACGCAAGCAAAGCTTAGAATGTGTACAATGTAATAAACGGATTATGGTTAAGATTGTATGGTAATAGAATCATTTTTTTTAATGTTTTTTTTTTTATTTATGCGTTAAATAGAAAATTTTAATGTATCGTTCGTCACATCGTTAATTCGTACGCAAAAAATGAGTACGTATGTATCTACCTACGTACTGTACATTTGCGTATGCATATGTTTATTGTGTATCTGTTTTGTTTCAGGAAAGGGAACTCAAACGACAACAAGCTATTCTCTTAAAAGAACAGGTAAGATAAAACGATGTAAACAGTTATCTTATGTGTTTTGTGTGTTGTATTTAGTTTTGTAATTGTTACGTGTGCTAAAAAAATATTAACAAAATGCAAAAGATTAGATCTACTTGGTGTGACATTACCTACTAAAACTTGTGTTAATCTATCTGACATTAAATAAATTTGAATAAACATCTTTTGATATCATAAAGAGGTGAATAATTTTAAAAATCACATTTTGATGTAACTCGTTAACTTGGGTATTTGTTACTTATCCGATATTCTATTAAAATATACTTATTGGTACATTTTCTTTTCCAACGCACGTTACGATCGGCCTCTACACGTCAACAGCAAAAGTACATAACCGAGGTAAATTTTATACATTGCAATACGCTTTGAAGTGGGGTCTTGTGGTGTTTAATTACCAACAATCATCGATACTAACAATGCATGATTTTTATCATTTGGTATTAATGCATGTTGAACCCATGTAATATTGTGGTTTCTTTTGCATTTACATAGAAAAACATACGTTTAATTGAGATTTTTGGTTTAATTTCTATATTCACAATAGTATGTTACTAATGACAAGCTTTCGCCTGCGACTCTGTCCGCGTGATTTAAAAAAAAACATTATTAATGTAGCCTATGTTACTTACAGATAAATAACCTTTCTAATGGTGAAAGATTTTTTCAAATCGACCAAGTAGTTTTTGAGCCTATTCATTACAAACAAAGTTTTCCTCTTTATAATATTAGTATAGACAAGCTTTCGCCCGCGAAGCCAACCGCGTGAAATTATTAAAAAGTGAATAGCCTATGTGTTCTTCCAGGCTATCTTCTACATCTATACCATCTAGGCTACAAACTCTAACAAACATCCATCCATCCATCTAAACCTTCGCATTTATAATATCA